ATGGCTTTTTAATCTCACGTTTGCTTTTGTTAACACTCTCGGTTAGGTTTATTGGTTTAGTGTAGTTGGTACGTTTTTTTTTTTCCCAAAATTATAGAACATTAATATTTTAGTACCACAGACATTTCACTTCCGAACCGCCTCAATAATTAATTAAAACGCTGTCAGATTTACATTCATCTGTTTCGGATAAAACTAAATGCACTTTTAGCGATTTTGGAGCTCAATTCATTTGGCTTTTTGAGGAAAGGCTGCTATAACTTTTCTTGAGGATCTTGATATTAGTTGGATTAAAAAAGGCACTTGTCAGAAACAGGAAGTAGAATTGCTTTCCAGTGGTTCAGGGAATCTACAAGAGCAACATTTTTAAAGGGGTCATATGACGTTGCTAAAAAAGAACATTATTTTTGTGTATTTGGTGTAATGAAATGTGTTTATGCGGTTTAAGGTTAAAAAAACATTATTTTCCACATAATGTATATTATTGTTTCTCCTCTATGCCCCGCCTTTCTGAAACGCGTCGATTTTTACAAAGCTCATCGATCTGAAAAGCGAGGTGTGCTCTGATTGGCCAGCTATCCAGTGCATTGTGATTGGCCGAATACCTCAAGCGTGTGACGGAAATGTTACGCCCCTTACCATACTGTAAAGCCGTGTCCCGGCGCGACGAGCAACATCAATAAAACCCATTATAAACGAGGCATTTGTTGCATCCAGTGGGGACATAATTACTGATTATAATGACTGTCTTTTTACGTGTTGCGTTGCATATTGTGCCGCGTAAACATAAAACCATGTCTGCATTTGTGATCGGAGAAATGGCAAACAACAAGCGCTACTCTACACTGCTCAAAACTCAGTGGCAAATTTTAAACTTTAAATATGAAAACATACTTACAGGCTGTGAGTCAGAACAGACGGCATTGTAGGCTACTCTCCCAGGTTCAGGAAAAATTCCTCCGTAAAATGCGTTGCACACACTGATCTATATATGACTGGATCGCTCATCGTGTTCTAAACTGCCAACAGGCAGTGAAGCCACTGGAAGTGTTCGATCCGCCATCTTACTAATCCCTACCGGCAGAGAGCACCATTGAGTCACAGCTAAAACACTGACCTAAAATCACCCGATTTGAAGCAAATCAGTCAAACGGGATTAGTTTTTATGTTATGTGTATGTAAATCAATTTTTACTTCATATTTTATCTGCAATGGTTATGAACTTTTTGGGCAGGATAAGCAATATATTTAAACCGTTTAGGTGGGTGTGTCTGCTGCGCACTGCCGACTCAGGCAACTGATCCAACACAAAATATAGCCTATTTCTTTATGTATGTTATGAAGTCAGTTATTTCTCTGAATAAATTATGATGTGTATATTTTTAATGTCCTGATTGAGAAACATCTATTTCAGACTCTCCAAGATCGCGCACATATGTTTACTAGCATTGTTTCCATGTAAAATGTTGTATGCTAAATTAATAATTAATTTAACCACCGTTTAAATCATTACCTGCTTCAAAATGAATGCTGTTAACGAAATCATTGTTGAAACATTTGCAGTTAGCGCCTATACTGTACGAATAAAAACACTATAACAAAATTATATAAACAATGAATAACTGTACAAGGCGAATAAAGGTATATGTGTATACAAAGCATAAATCTTTCTTCAGATTTCAGAATGAACACTTTGTCATTTGTTATATATATATGTTGAGGTCGTGTCCGTCTGATGTTTATCATGTTCATGATGTAATGAACGTAGCTTTTTAATAAGTAGGGGAAATTCCCGACATTAAAAAAAATAACCGTTTATATGCCTAGGGTGTTTGCATTGGAAGAATGTACAGAGATACTTCAGATTTAAAAAACGCTGATTGTTAGGTGATGTTTTCTCATTAAATTCGTACGATTTCCTATTAATTCAATGGAATGTATGGGAGTAGTGTGGATTACCAATATGGCGGCGCGGCGGCTTCACTTTCATGACGTTATGAGCAATCCAGTTCTCTATTATAGATCAGTGGTTACACACACACAAATATTTGGGCTGAACTGTTCTGGAACAGTGTTGTAAATACAACTTAACCATTAATTTCTAGTTGTGTCCTCTTTTGGGAAGCCAAACAAAGTATTTTCGCTTTCACAAAGAAACACAGCGTCTCCCCAGCATGGTGGCGGCGGCAACAGTACTACAGCGAGAATCAAAGTTATGCCTTCTTTCTTGGCGTGAACATTTGGGCGGTGTTATGCAAATCTTCCCACATAGTGACGTAGACATGTGGGGGCGTGTTTAAGGAGGCGTTTTTGGAGGGCGTGGACAAGTCTTAAAGGGGTCATATGATGCAATTTCAATTTTTCCTTTCTCTTTGGAGTGTTACAAGCTCTTGGTCCAAGAGAAAGAGAAAGGAAAACTTGAAATCGCATCATATGACCCTTTTAAGGGAAGTCGAGTTTCAGGGAGTATAATAAATTCAAGGAAACTCAAGGAGACTCAAGGATGAGGAGATTCTATCTTTTGTTATACAACGGAAGCTTGTTTTGTTTTTCCTCGTGTTAATGTTAAGAGAAATAAGGCCACTGGCAGATTCCTCCAATGGGAGTGTTTAAAAAGTAATTCATGCACCTCATTAATTAAATTAGAGAAGCGTTTGTAGGCCACTAAGAGACGATCGCTTAAATGTTTCTGTTTGAAGAAACGGTTCAATAAGTTCATGTATTACCCTTTTATCCTTTTGAATGCCAAAAGAAACAACAAAAACGTTAATTAGGGTGGTCAGACCCGCTTAAACCCCCTCATCCCTACCATTTTTTCATGTGTTGTTCACTTCAGGCTCACCTTAAATAGTCGTGATGCATCATCATCTGTCAAAACGGCACAGGTTAGCATGGCTGTTTTTGTGTGATTTCAAAGCCTTGATCTGCAGGAACCGCAGTGCGTTGCTGGTGTTTGTCCTGAGAGAGGCTGCTCTCATGAGAGACCTCATGCTGATGAGTCTCACCATGGAGACAGAACGATTTCTCTACCACACATTTTATTTCCAGTGTATTCATTATATTCCATATTCCCTCTGAGAGCTTTTGACCATGTCTAGACAGCGTTTTCTGTGTGAGTTAAGCTTCGCTTTTTATCATTCTTCCCCCTGCAATTCTTTAGGATGGAAAGCATATATCGCTGAAAAAAAAACACAAGTCAGTGCAGTGCTTTTTGAGGTTAAACATGTTTAATAATAATAATTGCTGATGTCACTAAACCCTGCTAGTTAATAAATAAATAAAT